GTAGTAGTAGTAGTAGTAGTTAGTCTACTTATGATTGCTGCTACTGCCAGAACTGTTGTTGCTACCATACCACGGTTAGCAATGGTTGCTATATACTAGTACGAAAATTACAGCTGTTGCTACTATTGCCACTGCTACTGTCATCATGATCCCTAGTTGGTGTGTTTTATCATTGATTCGTTTTTGATTTGAAGTTTGGTCTTCCAGAAAATCTGAGTGGATGATTCTGTGTTGTTTTGTGTTGGATCCCAGGTTTTGCTTGTCTTCATCCCTTATGTGTTTTCGATCCCTCAGCCTCTGGGTTTCCTGCCTTGACAGGACAGTGGCCCGATTCTCTCATTGGATATGCAATGAACATCTGAACCCACAGTCGCAGCAGGCACTGCTGTAAATGGCCGCGGCACAACGGGGCGCTGCCTTAAGTGCAGAAGCAGCGCTGCAGGTTCTGAGATCCGTGCTGCAACAGCTCTTGCAGAGAGTTCTTGACAAGAACAAGCGGGTGCAGGAGGTGCACACTCCATGCCATTACCTGCTAACCCGGGGCTACCAGCTGGCCCTCAGGCTGCTTGCAGTGCCTTCGCCACCCTCGAAGAAACAGTCGTCTTGGCTTGTTTGAGCATTCACCCACATGGCAGTTGCCAAGCCCATGTCCCGCCATGGAACTCAGCAGAGTCCGCACACCGCGAAGGCACGGCTCCTTCTCGTGCCATACCTGGACGACATTGCCCTGGTCTTACTTACATGGAGCAGTGGTTGGACGTCTTGAAAGTTGCCACGTGTTGCCACGTGTATGAAGGTACAGACACTTTCCAGGGCTTTCCAAATGTACCAGGTCCAACGCGATTGCTGCAACGTGAGGAGACCCGACCTGCATTTGCCAGGCCAAGAACCTGTTGATCCTCTACGATGCTGTGGGGACGCTGGCAGATGCTGTAGGCCTGGGCCCAAAGCAAGGACACCAGAAACTGAAATGATGCGAGCATCGAGTTCAAGTCCCCTAGTGTGCAAAGGTCCGGAGCTGGACACGCAGAAGCCAGAAGCACAATATTTCTGAATGTAAGCATGTGAGTGTGTCGGGTTTCCGCTGACCAAGGTACAAGCAGCTATTGCTTGAGCCAATGTTCCAGAAGTTCCTGCACACCCCAGACCACGACAGATCTTTAGTGGCCCTGTTCGAGTGCCTCGGATGCATGCATCTACCGATGCAGCTTCGCAATCGAAAAGGAAACAAAACGGATCAACGCCACATCCACGAAACACCTCACACAAGTAGCAGATTAGACAGATGGAGGGTCGGATCTCTTATGACGTCTGACACAGCAGGCAATGACACTTGTCACCGACAGCCAGAGCAACGAGCCCTGCAAGAGAAGCAGAGACGCGCCCACGAGGCAAGGCTTCAAGAGACGCCACGAGGAAGATTGTCTCAGCAGAGGACTGTCTGAAACAGGTGAGGTTAACGGATGTTAACGGAGTCGGCATGGAAAGAACAGCACGGAGAAAAGCAAGTGACCGGTTTCCTGTCCTGGAACAGATTGCAGCGGAAATGTCTCGTTCTGCTTTGTAAAAATTCTGATGCACTCAGCTGAAGAAGCTCACTCCTAGACCTCCTTGGAACCCCTCCATGGCAGAGCCACACTCAAGCTCGGAAAATCTACACGAAGGTCGCATGCAATCCGTGCACCGTGGTCCTAGTCAGACGTCAAGCGTGTTGGACTCGCACAGCAGCCTAATCGTTGCAAAAAATGTCGCAACCCGGGTATCCAGCCGTGTCCTCACCAGACCCATCTTTTCACACTGCTGAGGTGCTTCTCATCTTTGGCGCAAAACTTGGGGCCATCCTTCATGCCGCTGTGCAAACCGCCCGATGCACAGCTGGGAAACGAAGCCACAAAAGAAGCTCATGCCCCCCCGGCGGCTACGAGTGCTAAGGCTCATAGAAAGATGTACCCGTCTCATCCGCACTGGTGCACAAGCGGCTCAAATGCTGCACACCCAGTCACCGAGTGGGCGTCGGGCATGGTTCCTGGAAAGCGTTGGTGCCCATGTCATCGAGGTGGATGCAGAATCCCAACGAATTTGAAAAGCCTGACCGCGAGGCAAGTGGACCCGCTCAAGCAGAAACAACAACAAGCATGTCAGCTACGCAGGTCATGGCTGCAAGCATCGACTTACTCTCCGGCATTGTAGGCGGACTCCAAAGAAGAGTGTCCGAGGCGCTCAAACTCTAAAATGCATGTGTCTTCCAGCATCCAGCATCGAGCGCTTCAGGTCCTTGCACAGGATAACTTCCTCGCTGTAGTGCCGGAAGTGCTTAAGGACAGCGCATTACAGGCGGAGCATCGCCTTTTTGCCTATCAGCAGCTTTGAACTTCATTGTTCAGGTAAAGCAAAGTGCGTTCGCACTCGTGGGTGACTCTGCAAGACATTGCATCGAGCACGAGTCTCAAGACCGCCGAGCGGCACGCATTCACGAGAACAGACACAAGGTCTCAAGGCACTCCTTGCCCAGGCACCTTTCACCGTTCTTGCCGCAGCTACTGCCCCAATGTGCTCAGCCCAGCCTTATCTGCGTTTTCTCCAGTCTTGCAGCTTCTGCTTGAAGATGCAGGTGCAAAAGCTCTTCGGGAGAATAACTCCGCGACGGAACTGCCCCTGAAACCTGCTATACGACGTGGACCGGACTTGAGCGCTTGAATCGCGTGAGGTCAGCAACAACGCATCCTGGGCCGTTGGAGAGATTTGCATCAAGGCCGAGAGACGCCACTTAGGGCACAATGGAACATCGCAAGCGCGAGAAGGTCGGGCCTGACTACATGGCGAATTACCTGGAGGATATCGTCGATGCGCTTGTGACTACGCTGAACAGGCAAGAAGTTTTGTCTGACGTCAGATCCCACGTATTTGGAGTGAAATTCGAAGATGCATCCAGGTGTACACAGCAAAGCAACAGGATGCTGACGTGGAGCTGGCGATTTGGAGTTCGGCGCGATGTGCCGCCTCACAGACGGACAGACTGCCAGGCAAAATGTGTGCATCACTTTGGGCCGCCTGGGTGTCGTAAGCTGCTCAGAATTTCCGAAGCAGATACGCTTCTGCGTGCCCTTTGCACTTTCAGGTCTCCGGACCTCAGATGGGCAAGAGCTTCTCCCAGTTTGCAAGGATCTGGTGCCTGGTGATGAAGGACGATGGAGCATTCTCCCAACTGGGCTGCCCTTCCCATTTTGAGCCCGCCGGTCAAGGCAAACCACAGTGGCCGAGTCGGTAAAGTGTACAACTGAGAGGGGCCATAACGATGCGACCCTGAAGGATGCTAGACACGATGCTGAGAAAGTCAATGCATTCCAGGCACTGCCACAACCTTTCGCTTGACTTTGTGAGTGTACACACGTGTGCACACTGCACCGCTGCCCAGGGTTTCTGCAACATGGTGCAGGCCAACCCACAGGCCCTGTGTTAGACGTGGACCTTAGCTAGCAGGAGTATGGTTCAAAAGCCTAAGCTCCCGTCGTATCCGGACAGGTTGCCCTCCAACACCCTGTAGAGTTTGCAGGCGTGGTGAGCCATTTTGCTGGCACGGACATGCTGACATTGTCAAACGCTGCACTAGCGACGTCCTTGTCGAATGCTAGGTGCCATTGCGTCGCTTGCCCCTGCTCCACAACACCTTCAGCCGAACTTCCAGAACATCCTCTCAAGAGCCCCGGCAGCAAACGCGTTGCCTTTCACGGTAATGCGCGACAAACGTGCGACGCGCTTGCACCGACAAGATGCGGAACTGAGGTTACAAGCAGGCCTGCGTTTCACCGCAGTGTTCCAATAGATTCAGTCGATCATCCGATTCCGCTTGTCTTGCAGACCTTGGGAGCCAATTGGGCAAATGCCTGGAAGCAGGCACTGCAGTAATGGGGTAAATCTTCGTGAGAGATCTGAATATGAGAAATCACTTCGAGCCATTGCAGATGCCACAAGATGTGCAGCACAAGCTTTCGCATATGAACCTTGGTGGCAAGTCACAGCTGGATCGCTTGAGTCTGAGAAGCTATAGTCTTCGCAGCTGAGCCCTGCTGGGCCGGGAGGTACGCTGGGATAGAGCCTTCGTCTGAAGCTCAGCAAAAGATGGTAGGCCATTACCATGCTGCTGTGTTGTGTGCCTCTCCTTGCTGCTGTCTGGGGCTTGTTGCAAGGTCCTAGACCTGCGGGAGACAGCCTCACTTGAAAGCTGACGGATAGTGCGCGGGACAGAACTCCGTGTCTTGCGGCTACTCGTCATACCTGCCAGCCATTGTCAATGGTTCTGTTGTAAGTGGGCAAAGCCGTGTGGACAGACGATGCTGGCAGGACCAGATAATGCTTCTCTAATACCCAGGAATGCCCAAATGTTTAAGGCTAAAGGTGTCCTGCTTCGTTGCGCTTTCCTGGACGCTTTTGAAGAAGAGACAGGTTGATACTCCAGCCATCGGACTAAGCAGCTACAGTAGAAGTCAGAGGCCCGTGTCTTCTTCAGGAAGCATGTGCAGGCAATATGCAAACCAAAAGTGTTTGGCGCAGCAAGTCCCTTTGCCGGTCCATCCACGACCCAGACTTCAACCCAGACCAGAGAACCTGCAAATTATAGGACAAGCCGCTCCAGAGCGGGGATTGATGGAACACGTGGCTATGCCTAGAAGATCTTGAAGTATACCCGTTGGAATCAGATACCTGCAGCTAGGGCACCGGTGGAATCGCAGCATTCGTCCTGAGCGCGGGTCAGACTCGCACCTCGGACGCATGGAAAGCTGCCGAGTTCTTTTCAGTCATGCCCCCCTTTTTGCTTTCGTCATGTTATGGTCGTGGGTTGGTGCGTTCTTCCTAGCCGAGGCAGCCGTGATGTCCACATCGCTCTGTGGCAGCATTGGCGGGCCCACAGCAGTACATTAGTTAGCGGGCACCGCATCTGCTCATGCGGCCGGGTTTCTGTAGGACAAAATGATTGCATGATTCTTCATGCTATTCTCCGCCAGTCACCGGCATTCGCAAAGAGACCCAGCTACCCATCTCTGCCGCGCCAAGCTCAAGCTGACCGCTGCGAGGTCGAGATCAGTCCACACAGCACCTACAAAACACTCTGCAGAATGCAGTGATATGCAGCTCCAAACTTGTACATCACAAGACTGCAGCCGCAATGTGCCGACAAGCTTGCTCGGAGTAGGAGATGTCCCCAGTCCCATCTGGCCACTGACACGCTCCGAGGAAACGTGACACAAGTCACATAGCATGACAGTTGCCATGCAGACACTTGCAGGAATTTATCAGCTCCACATGTGCTGCACTCAGAATCGAGCATGCGCAGCAGTTTGAGACGGAAAAATCGAGGCAGAGCCGAGATGATGCCAAAGAGGTCTGTGGCACTTCTGTCGGCTTAAGTTGTCTTGACAAAAAGCCATTTGGCCCTTTTTGGGGGTCTTGAGGACGGCAGAGAAGTGGTGTTTTGCCCGCGCTCCATGCGAGCAAGCACCGAGGTGTCATGGCATCGGTACATGATGGTAGCTATTAGCAGGCGACTGTAAAAAAAGAGGCCCTGTAATGGATGAGGTGCAAGAGGAGCCTTCCGCGGAGGACGCGGTCGCAACTCAGCGGCGCTGCTGGGTGCGAAGCCCAGTGGACGGAGCAAGCGCCAATAGCAAACTTGAAGAAGCGACACGTACAAGGAGCTTGCACCAGACAAGATTCTACAGTGTGCCATGAGCTGTCTTTTTGAGAACTGGCCGTGCAGGTGCTGCCTCCATCGGAGTGCCGTCCTCGGCCACTCTACAGGGGCTCCGCATGTGACAGGAGCACATTGGCTTGCTTTTTCTATGGTAGTCTCGCTTTTGGTCCAGTTGTACCAGCCGAACCACATGAGCTAAGCAAATACAGGATCTCTAGACTTTGCTTCACGAGATCAGCCGACCACAGCATCAGGTATCGCGTGCATAGAAAGTACCCGACTTGTATCGCAGCCCGCACACGGGCTGCGAAGATGTTTGCGACGGTGCAGTCGCCAGGCATCGCTCCTGCACACGCAGTTGGCCAGAATGCAGCTGGAATGTCCTGGAGCAAAGCTTACAACAATGCCCTTTGCATGAGATGTGGTTTGCAGACGTGCAGCCCACTCCTTCTTGACTTTGGACAAAGATGGCCTGCACTGGATGTATATAGCCGGCAGCTGCGTGCCTTTCGCTCGTCTTCGCAGCCCAGTCTGAGACCGACCCTAAGTGCAACAGCCGCTTGCAGATCTCAGGTGCTGCACAGCACCAGGCGTATTCGGCTGCAGTCGGACGCGAGCAGCGAGCATTCGTCTAACAAGCCAACGCTGCGGCGGTTGTTGGCACTGCTGTGGCCGGACCGAGTTCTTCTTGGAGTTGCTCTGTGCTTTCTAATTGGTGCGGCTGTCTCACAGGCGCGGTACTAGCTGTTACTAGCTTGTTCGAAGCATATGTCAATGGCCAGTTTAGGTGCATTCTTGTCAGGCAATGCTCCCTCACTGCTTATCTGACACTTTGAGAGTGATCATTGCTGGTCAAGCATCTGGCACGCTCGGAGTGAGCACGTTCACCGGGCCTTTGTCAAACTTGTTGCTTGCAGCTTTAGCTGGTGCCTTGCTTGCAAACCACGCAAAGCCTTCATCTTGCCCACAAATGAGCTAAACTGGCATCCGGAAACCTGTTTGGACTCAGATGACACGACAGAGATCATCCAAGCCCTGGGCTGCCAACCATGTTAAATTCGTAGTTGCAGCTCTTGAAACTGACCAACACCCAAGAGCCCTTGCCAACTCGAGCTCCAAACCATCGCAGTCTAAACGGGAAAGCCGTCAGCCCTTGTTGAAGCCTTGCAAGAGGAGTCTACGGTTTTGCATTGCTGCAGCTTCTGAAGACAGAACATGCTAGAGCGTGTCTTCTCAACTGAGGAGCCTTCTTCTCTTCCCTCCGCGGTGCCTGCTTCATCGTTATTGGGGCCAGGGCTTCTGTCCGCCTCCGGAAGCAGCTGTTCAAGTCCTTACTCAAGCAAGACCTTGGCTTCTATGATACCACGAAGACTGGAGAGATCACTTCGCGCCTTACGCAGGACTGCCAGCGAGTCGCCGACCAGGTCTCGTTTAACGTAAATTTCTTTTCGCGGACTGTGGTGGAGCTGGTCGCCACGCTGTGCTTCATGCTTTCATACTCTGCTGAGCTGACCATGATTTCTTTTGCCACCGTGCCAGTGGTGGCATTTCTGTCCAAAAAGGTTGGGCATTATATGCAGAAGTTGTCCGAGGCAACTCAGCAACGGCTTGCTGATGCTAATGCCGTGGCCGAAGAAGCATTATCCTCCATCGCCACTGTGCGAACTTTTGGAGGTGAAGCCTGGGAGGAGCAGCGATTTCAATGTAACTTGTTGAAATTCTACGAACTGGAGAGTCGCAGGGCGAAAGTATACGTGGGATATCTCTTCGTCATTATGATATTACCGCATTTAGGAAATTGTCTCGTGTTGTTTCAAATTGGACGCCTTTGTGTGCATGGTCTATCGGCGCCTACATTGTTGGCTTTCGTCTTCTATTTGCAGACGCTGAACGGCTGTTTCAATTCGCTGGCAGACATCTACACAAACATAATGCAAGCACTGGGATCTGCTACACGAGTGTTTGCGCTGGTGCATCGCAAACCAAATATCACGCAAGCGGCTGCAGATCCTGGCTCTAGCGCCGTAAAGGTGAAGGGTCACTTGGAACTCCGGAATGTGTACTTCAGCTACCCAGCACATCCCGAAAGGCAGGTGTTGAAAGGTCTCTCGCTGCAGTGTGAGCCGGGAAGTGCAGTGGCACTGGTCGGAGCCAGTGGAGGCGGAAAGTCTACCTGCATATCCTTGTTTCAACGACTCTACGAGCCTCAGAAAGGAGCCGTTTTCTTGGACCAGCGAGACATCATGGACTATGATAGCAGCTCGTTCACGGAAGTTGTTTCTGCAGTTAATCAGGAACCTGTCCTATTCGGCTGCAGCATTCGGGAAAATATCTTGTACGGTCTTCCAGAAGACCACCCTGCCCGCAGCAATGACCTGTCACCTGATGTGGTGCAAGCAGCCTGCTTGGCTAATGCTCACAGGTTTATTCAACGAATGGCAGATGGTTACGACACCGAGGTGGGGGAACGAGGGGTACAACTATCTGGAGGACAGAAGCAGCGCATCGCAATCGCTCGGGCTCTTGTGCGCAAGCCGCAGGTTCTACTGCTTGATGAGGCTACTAGCGCACTTGACGCAGAAAGCGAGCTGCAGGTTCAGATGCTCGCCAGATTATGCAATTGGACTTCGCAAGATCGGCTGCAAAACCATTGATTGCTCAGGCCATGTGAGCCATGTAGCAGGTCATGCAGATCATCCAGCATGCATGGTATTTGCAAGCTGTGTTGCGGAACCCCGTAGATCCTCCTTGGACAACATGGGATACTGACACCCCAAACAACCAAGCAACAAAAACATCACACACCCTTTCGTTTGCGATCTCGTGCAACTTCCCGATGGGGTTCCTAAGACACGGGTTCCGCTTTCTGAGGATTGCCATCAACAACTTGGTGGCACAGCAGGACATGACGGTTGTGATTGTCGCACACAGGCTATCAACAGTGCAGCGGGCAGACAAGATTTGTGTAGTGGAGGGAGGCGTGATTGTGGAACAAGGACGACATGCTGATTTGCTTCAGAAGGCAGATGGACACTACAAGCGGTTAGTCGACCAGCAGCTCAAACACTGACCGATACTGGAATCACCAAAGCCCACCACTGACAAGCACAGACAGCCAACGTGCTGTCGGATGTCATCGTTTCAAGATCGTCATAGCTGCAAAACTTTTTAAAACTGGCCATCTGGCTCGTGGTGATGCCACAAGTCGTGGTCCAATCACCAAATTGTTTGAAAGCAAAACAGATGTCCGGAAGGCTTTAGTCTGAAGCGCTTGAGTGCCACTGATGGGCACACCAATTGATCTCATTTTCTGTGTGCTAGTACCATTAATCTCAAGTGTACAGACTGCAAGAAGTTGTTGCCCTTTGGGCGTTTTCAGTGCTGACAGCACAAACCCACAAAAGAAACTCCAGGGTCGGACTGTCTATTGCAGTACACTAGCTCGAGATTCTTGCGAAGGCAGCTTACCAGCATTCGACTCATTGCTAAGGCCACATCCTCCAGAACGTGAACCTGAGGATAGTTGGGAGTCGGGAGTGTCTCAGCACCTCTGCTTTTGACCATGAGCTCCGAGTCACAGGCCGACGAAGAAAGCCACGAGCTTACGAGAAGAGGATGGAGGGAGACTTTTGCAAGTTCTCTCCAAGGCCGGACCTTTGTGTTCGGCCCCCGGCCCCGGCGACCCGCGAAGGAGAGCAGCCCGCGCTACACCCGCCCAAAGCATCCGCGGAGCATCGCGTCGTATCGAAGCTCGCGCATTCCGGCCGAGGCCAGCGGGGCGGCGCCCGGCGGGGCGGCGCCAGTCCTCTGAGCGGCCTACGGCCGCTCGAGAGGAGGCGGTTGCACCGGATGGAGGCCCGCCAAGCAGAGCGCAGCACTGACCACCCGTCGCAGCAGGCACCGAAGCGCCAGTCCTCTGTGGCCAGCGACCGATCTCGGAGAGGCAAAGGAGCTTCGCCATCAGACTTCGGTACTGTCATGGCTTCGGCACGTGTCAAGTCCTTGTGTTGTTGCTACTCGGTTCGCAGGTGTTGGCGGAAGAAGCCAAAACGAAGGTCGAGGAGAATCGCGGCAAGCTCATTTCGACGGTTAAGTTGGTTCCCAAGCACCATGCCAGGATTCTCAGCAACCATCAACTTGGGGAGCTCCAGGTCATCAAAGAACAGCACGAGTCAGGCGGTGCTGCCGTGATACAGTCATGCCAGGCAATCGCACTCAGAGACTGGTGCCGGCGGCGGTCCCCTTTCAGCACCGGTCTGAGCATGCCATCTCCATGAACGCAGAACTACCGGCAAAAGAATCCCAGGCGAGACGACGCAATGGCACAGCAACCCTGTCTGCCACAACCATCGCTGCTTGGCTTAGCATGAACTGGACGCTGAGTCATCTCTTGCAGGGTGAAGCCCAGTGGGGCAGCATAGCTGAGGCCAGCAAGAATGGCTCAAGCGCAAATGGCCGAGCAGCAAGTTCAGGTTCCATTCGTTCGTGTGTGTGTGTGTGTCAGTCAGTCAGTCAGTCAAGCCTCCTGCAAGTTGCTTTCAAAGCAGCACACCTAGCCAGAGTCGAATCTCGGGGCGATGTTATCATCAGCCTCATGAAAAGCAGATGCGAGACCGTCTTGGTGGACTTTGGGCGAAGTAGCTCCAAACGATTCTGGCTTTGCTGATACGATTTCGGAATGGATGGCAGCCAGGCACGGCGACTGCGACAAGGCAGACACGGGCTCGCTCGCAAGAGGCTTGGCCTATGCGGAGGCTGTCGGGGCAACGGGCATCTCGAGTGTGACAGGTGACTTCTCGCCGCGGCTCGACCGGAGCAGAGCCGATGGTGTCGATTAGCCAGCTCAGGCTCACTGAGAGATGCGTAGCTCACACGAATCCAGACGAGGGACACCTGCGTGGCACGTCTGCGACGGCTCAGGCATCGTAAATTCAATCGGCCTGACAGAGTTTTACTTTGAGCTTGCAACAAGTGCTGTAGTTACTCAGCTTGAAGCGAGGCGTAAGATCACATTAATGGTCTCAGTCCGTATAGTCGAGCGAATGGTCGCAGCCGAGTGCATCCACAAGTGAAGCATGAGACGAAGACGGCGTCAGATGGAGTCACGCTCGAGATCGCGCGAAGGTGCGATGCTCCAATTGCAGTCTCACATGAACTTGTCTCATGCATTCTTTCCTGCCCAGGTGACGAGTCGGCCCGTGGGCTTTTTCAAGAGCCTTGCATGAGGCAGCTGAGGATAGAGGACTGTCGAGCTGTCTTCCGATCCAACAAGGCAGCCATTCATGCATCGCAATCGGAGATCAAGGCAGTTTGCGCCCAACTGTCGAAAGCCCTGAAAGCCGAAGCCCTGGACAGCGTTGTCCTGGACCTGCTGAGACGGCTTTCGGTCTACATGCATCCACTTCGAGGGCATAGAATGCTGGAGTATTTGCGCCATACAGGGGCTGTGCCGCTTGTTAAAGCGGTGAGACGTGACTGTGGAAAAGAAGTTTCAGGCTTTGCATCCCGGCTTTTGGACTCGTGGAAAGCGGTCCTGATCCAGTTGCAGAAGAAGCAACAAGCAACGGCTACAACGAGCGCTTCAAAGCCCTGTGCTGAATTTGCGGCTGCCCCCAGCTCGTCCGCAGCACGGCAGCCAGAGAGTCGCGGAAAGACCCTTTTGGTCTCTTCCTCCTCGTCCTCCAGTGCGTCCACTAGCTCCGACTCGGAAGCTTCGAGCAAACGACGGACAGCTCAAACCGGAGGAAGAGGGCCCATGATGTGCACAGCTTTCATGAACCCTTCCAGTAGATGAACTGCTTCTGTGTCTGCCGCTTGCTTGTCTGGCAAGCAACAGCCAGGTCACATGGCATACTTCTACTGAAAAGCTTCTATCCTTTCCGGTTCAACGCAGGCGCGTCGAGGCACAACTGGAAAGCTATCGCACTCGGAACGCAGCTCTCGAGGCCTGTGCTCTCGTGCTTCTTGTAGCACTCACTACATGTGACTACTACATTTTAAATACCGACTTCTTTGCGTGCGTTGCCGTGATTTGGTCAGGGTGAGGTTGCAGGGCTCCGAGCAGAGGCGCAGGTACTCGGCCAGTTCCTTCAATGGAGATCGTGCGTGCCGAGCTGTGCCTTCAGGCGGTAAAGCAAGGGCTCGATGCGGAGATTGAGAGGTGGTGGTGCACGCGAGTCCGCATGGCGACGGCGTTCGGCACACCTCCGCTTGGCAATGCGAGGCTTCGGCGAGAGCTTCAAAGCAAGGAGCCATAGAATGTGCGCGGTCCCTGCTCACATGCATTGGCTGTATAGCAGGACGCTCAACTTCACAGAGAGTTGGAGGTCAAGAAGCGTCAAATCACCTCGCTGGTGCTGCCATGTGTATTGCTTGCGCGCTTGTGACCCTCGGGTTTGCGAGATGCTGTGCAACGGTTCCAAGAAGCACATTGGCGTAGACCGCCAGTGCGACAGAAAGCTGAAGGGAGTTCTGATTTCACGTGCTGCATGTGAGTCGTATGTGAGTGGCAGGAGCAGAACAAAGCTCTGCAGACAATATTGAGTTCATGCCGAGTATACCACCCAGCCAGCCAAGATGGAAAATGTATATGTGCTTGTGCGGATGTCAACTCACAGCGAGGCCATCCCTCGGGAGAGTGGCAGTATGCAGCTGCCGACCGCAGTGGCCGGGACCTGGGTTCGCGACTGTCTGCACAGGCATGAGCTAAAACAGACATGGTCCACTGATCTTCGGTCGGCGTGTCGAAGAATTCGAAGACTTGTGGCATGTTTTCGCTGGTGCCCGCAGTATCTCGCACTTAGGTTTCATTTTCGCACCCTGCTCCAGCAGCTGCTCTCTGAGCCTCTGAGGGATGGTACTGTGATCTTGGTCACGGGCGGAAGAATGGGCTCAGGCTCCACTGTCGGCCAACAGCCCCGCCAACATGGCAACCCCACGAACTACACCTCCACAGGCGGACCCAGACCTTTCCGCCTCTGTCAAAGCGATTCTGCCAGCTGCGCAGGTCGCCGCACCACAAATTTACACCGCATCGCCCGGCTTGCAGCTCAGGCAGCTCAGAGGACTGACTATTTGGGACATTGATGCACATTGTGTTTCGCTTTGTCGGGCAACTCTTCCGCTACTCAGTTCTTACTTAGGCACAACATTTCAAAATTTGTAAATGCTTTTGATTGTTTTGCGCGTGTGCACCCGCCAGCTGTTTATGGCTACGCTAGCTTGTCCTGCGTCAGGAGAGCCAACCGCAGTGAGGTGCGGCCTTTTCAAGTCCGTAAGCAAGCCTTGCTGTTTTTGTGCTGCAGCATACTGATGACCTGAGTTTCGCGTCCAGCGCCAACACGGTCCAGCCTTTCGGAAGCTTGGCCTTTCAAAGGATGACGCACCTCGGCTCGGTCTCTCGCTGCATGAGCTGACTGCACCAGTGATGTCCCACGAGGCCTCGCCAGGACTGGGCCTTAGCAGCAGTGTCGTTTACACAGCTTGGCTTCACCTCGTAAGCATGCCTGCTTGCGCAGGTTTGGACTGCCGCTCACACGCCAAATCACCCGGCGCACCCCTGAGCACACAAGGCGCTACTGCCTTCGAGACTTGACTGGCGCTGCCTGCCAATATCAGCGATGTGCGAGCACCCGCATGGCGGATCACGGCGGATCTAGAATACCTGCTGTCAGCATGTGGTCACAGCATTTGCAGGAAATGCTGCCGAAGTCAATACGGATGCATGACTTAGAGGAGTACCCTTGTAGGCATTTTCCCGCGAAGCTCAAAGCAAATGCTTCGCAAGTGGATAGAGTTCGGGCAGACAGACTGCAGCTGTTTCCATGACGTTCCATCTCTGCAAAACACGCGTGCTGAGAAAGCGCCTCGGCTGCTTTTTGTGCCCACAAGTGAAAGAGTGGTCGGCGTGCTTGTCTTCCAGCTGTCAATGATTAAACAAACGATGAACATGGGATGGTGTCGTGCTGGAAGGGGATACTCGGATAAGCCTTGGCTTCAGTTGCGAGCTGAATCAGTCGGGGTGCGATTGAGTCCAGATGCAAGTTGGTTTATCAAGTAGAACGTAGCGCCTTTTACGGTGCCATGGCCCCTCAAGGACACCCTGGTGATGAGCCTTTGCTCCTTCTGCGTGACTCGCTGGTCGCTTTTCGAAGCGACTTAGAAGTTCTGTTCCAAGCCCAGCAGAGGCACAACAACACTCGCAGGCTACTGCAGGACCTTTACGTACGACTTCTGTGGACTCGTCAGAACACAGACCCCGAAACCACGAGCGCATCCACGAAAGTCGGAATTGCTGGTGTGGGTAAGCTGTCCGACTCACCCAACTCCAAGGGTGCCCGTGCCAAGAAGCATTCGATCAATCTCGAGAGCTTTGGTGGTGAGGATGGGCTTCGAAGTCTGGTCTTGCAGTTCCTGGCAAAAGAGAAAGCCACACATCTCCCCCACGACAGCATCCAAGACATCTGGGCTGATGAGCTTTCCACTTCATCGGCACGGGTCTCCGCTCTTATCAGAGATGGCATGTGCTCCGACTGCTGGCAGTTCGTGCTGGCAAAGGACGGCTCCAGGCGCGAGCATCGAAGCTTCGATTCTGTTGCATTGCTCTTGGTGCTCTTGGGTCCACGCACATCGCTGTTCCTTGAAGGTGGCAGATTATCCAGCAGAACAACTTGTCCGTCGTCCAGGCCAGAGTTCTGAGAGTCCTCAGAGCAAGGGTGGGCCCAGGATGGCTCATGTGACTCTTGCCTGCATCGATTAGCAAGGAGCCCGGGAATCAACAAGTCCGCGGCTCGCTGTCCACAGAGAGCTTTGTCCTTGTGCACGCTGGAGATCGCCTTGTTGATGGGCGTGTCCTCTTTATGGTTCAAGGAAGCACAGCCAATCAAAGGTTCTGGTATTTTAGCGGCGACCGCGTGCCATGTCAGTTGGATTGCTGCTCACGGCAAACGCAGTGCCCTGCGGGTCGCGGCTCAGTTTAAACGGAGCCGAAAATGAGAAGTCTGCGATTTTTCTGCTGTTCGGCAAAGGCATGCCAAGCGCCAGCATATTGGCTGGGATGTCCGAGCAAAACGGATGCTGAGCGAAGCACATCATGAGCCTACATTATTATTTCAGCTGGCTGTGTTTGTGAACATGTATGCCGCAGCGATTGCCATCCTCGGTGTGACCCTTGCAACAGTGTGCCAAGGATCACAGCGTGCAAGACATGCACTTATCTTCGACGTTCAAGAAGAACCGGAGGCATCTGAACGTCCTGCACGGCAAGCCTGCGCAGCTGGAGAGAATCACAGCAGCATGAGAGTTACGTGCTGCTAGGCAGTAGTACTTCATAGCTAGTGACATCGCAAGCTGCGAGCATGCAAATTTCGCAAGTTGTGAGGAGTCCAGAGACTCCAGGAAACCAGGCTGGCCCGAGTCAACTGCATCCGGGTCTGTCGCCCCAGCTGGCCCAACAGCACTGAATGCAGCGCTGCAGCACAGTTTAACTAGAAGGCAATCCACGCATCGCAGAAAAGCACAGTGCCACACAACAAAACACAATTGTCCCTCTCAAGAGCAAGGATGCGCCACATTCGGAAGAGCAGCTAGCCAGGGCCGGCTAGGACACTGAGCATCACTGAGCAATGGGTTGCACGGAAGAGCCTCGATCGGCTGCCTTGAGAATCCCACACGCACGAAAGGCATTCGATTCTGACAGGGGCCAGGGCTCAGTCGCAGGCATCGCGTTACTAGTCGAAGTAGAACTTTGCCAAGTGGACGGAAAAACCCTGCAATCTTTCGGCAACCCGCGGTTTGTAGACTCTGACTTCCCCTGTCAGCATGCGTTTTGAGACTCGGGTCGTACCGTCAGCCTCCAACCGACTCCGATTGCAATGGGCAGGCATGTCTTTTCCATGTAGGGGGCAGGGGAAGGGCTGCGAGCCGTGGCTCTGACGTTCGCTTAGAACGGAGCTCACCGAAACGGGGCAGCGCCAAGCCTGAGCGGACTAGAACGTGACTCACACACCGGTGCTATTGAAGTCACCTGATTACAAGCGGCAAGCGTGATTTCACGCTGGAGTAGCCTGGGCCCGATGCCGGAATCTGGCAACATCGTCCAAACCCTGTCAGCTTCGGGTGTTCAGGCCAGCTGGTGGAGGCCAATAACGAGGGTTTTGGCCGGTTTGGGGTTTCCAGAGGGGTCAGATGCTGGCTGTTGAGGGGGAACGTTTAACGACAGGATATCCTTCCTGAGAGCTGTAATGCTGATGATGTTTTCCAGTGCACTCCCATCAGAATCCGTCGCTTCGCATTCTAGCTGTACTGAGAATTGCGATTTCATCAAAGGCTTTTCCGACCCTGCCAGAATCGGGGGTCATGAGTCGCAAGCTGCTGCATAGTAAGGATGCGCCTCCGAGCCGCACAGTGTGATGCTAGCTGGCAGCGCAGCTTGGAGAAAAAGATAGAACTCCTACATGCTTTCATTTGATGATTTGCCCTACTTTCTCACGCTTTCGGTCAAGGCGAGCACAGCACCCTTCAAGCCGGTTTGGGAGTTGAAGGAAGCCTTGCCACCGCTGTTGCGCCTTGACTCTTCCGGAACCAGGGGATGGTATTCATCGAGGGAATTGTGATTCGCAGCAGGAAATGCAGTGCTTGATCCTTCATCGAGGCCCACGTCATCAGTGACGTCACCGGCGTCTGCAGCTTTGTCACCCAACTCTCGTACAGAGCTGAGTCAGTCTGTCCATCGCACCTTAACTTGCAGCGGGACAGAAGGGATCGCCCGCATTTTTTGCAATGACGCAAGGGGTTCCTGATCCTTTGTCGTCGACAGTTTCTTTTTTACAAGAAGCTTCCTGGCAGCAAGTCCGGTTTCTGGATGGTTGAAATTCTGGTCACGATGTACTGCAAGTTCCAGGCAGTCTGTAGAAATCAGCATCAAGTTGCAAAGCTGTGGAACCTACAGCTGAGCACTTGGTGACTTACCCCCGCATGCGTCCTTATAAAACACGTATCTCTTTGCCACGCATACGCACGCAGAGACACGCTACCGACATTGGGTGTAGTTTGCTTCGCTCGGTGTTTCGCATCGGCCTGGATAACTTGCGAAGTCTCCAACGATTGCCTGCAAGCCAGCTCAGTCTATCAAGAACGACTACTGCGGAGACCTTCAATGGAACACAAAGCATCTCGCTTGAAGTTTGCGACCCGATGTGTGGGTTGCCCAATCGTATGTCCATATTGTCATATATCCAAGCCAGCCTGTGAGAGCGAGGTGGTGCTACAAACGACGTCCAGATGGCGGATTCTGGATGAGATGACGTGCAACATCCGCAAGGGTAGCATCTTGACCAATTGAGAGCAGTTGTGATAATGCCGGATGCGGCCGAGAGAATGGAGCCTGGCACAGGGGGCTTCTTTACGCTATCATGACGACTCATGTATACGTGTCAGAACACTGCACAGGGGACACGACAATACGCCACGCGCATACTCTTAGTTAGCCTTCACTGTCTTTACTGGTTCAGAGTCTACCACAGCAATGCGCATCACTGTGAGCTGAGGATGGCCGAAAAACGGACACACAGGTGTGACAAGCACACTTTACATAGAGTTTAGCCTTGCTCCTGTTTAGGGAGGTAGCGAAAGCTGACGACGTTAGTGTCGAAGTTTGTGCATCCTCGTCCAGCCTGTATCCACAAAAGATTGTCAAAAACTGCATTGCAATCTGCAAGTACATGGATCCGCGGGCGAGGGAATGTCAGCTGCATCCTAAAGGGATATGCAGCGTGCACAGACGTTGCTAGTCAATCAGAAGGTTCTGGGGAACCAGGGCGGCACCTCAACTGCTGCTTCTGCACGATGAGCGGTGGGGCATGGTCGGGCTCGTTTTGCGGGCAGATGCCAGCATTGAATGTGACGGGTTGACAACCTCGCAGTTCTGACAAGGCTGGTGAGCCTCAGGCCGTCAGAGAAGCACAGACCTCGGGGCCTCGGGTCGTCGTGCGGAAGCTGAGCCACGACCTTCTGTGCCAGGCCATAGAGTTGATCGAGTCAGATCCCAGCAAAGGTCCCCTCGTGCAGACAAGGCTTGGACAAAAGCAGTGCGTTGAAGAGGTCACTCCTTTGCGGAACTGGCGAGCTGTTTGGGTGCTCCTCTCGGCATTGCATGTTGCTCTTGGCTTTAGTTCAGTTGATGCACCGAAAGGTTCGGAGCATACCGTCAGCGTACTTGGCGATGAGCTACGCCCCCACTTTCTGCCAACAGATGTGCAGAACGGTCTGTTCCACATCGCCTGAAAAGATCGGTATGATCAGTTGCACCCCAGGTACGATGTGAAGAAATTATACATCAAAGCCTTGAAGCTGGATACTTCGCAGTGTGCTTACAAGATGAGTGCTGTGGCTCTGAGACACGGTCGAGGGCAGTGGGTGTGTCATATCCAGACGAGGCTCAATGCTGCGAAGGAGCAGTTGGGGAAGTTGCTACAGGACGATGGCCAGAATCGCCATGGTCTTGGAGAGGGAAGAAACGAAGCCCTCATCAGGAAGGCGAAGAGGTGCGCATTCGTGGCAAAGCTCGGCCCTGACATTCATTCAGATCCAAGACTCATCTGCCTTACCCAGAACTGCGATGAGCATTAGCCACCGGCTGACCACTGCTGCCACAGTGTTCAAGGGAGCTCTTGCCCAACAGCGATCTTCGTCAGTCCTGTCAGTTCCCTGATCCCTGAGTGAAATCATCAGTGGAAAGCATTGCAAAGCAAGACTCAGCCGCAAAGCAGCCTCAGCCTGTCAAAGGGATTGCTTTCCAAATGTTAGCAACAGCTTCGGCTGAGACTGCAGGAAGATAGGAGCTATGGTTAGGATTTGGCCTCCGCCTGAGCACAGAAGTCCGTAGTGTTGACGCAACAAGGCTGTTGTCCTAAGTCATGAGACATCAAGCCTTCGAGAAAAGTTACCTTCAGCCCGTGCAAGTACCGCTGTGCGGCTTGTCGACTTGTTCAACAGTTCAACACTGGAAACTCTGTTGCAGGTCCATCGTGATTGCATGCATCTTGCACATTAGTGCTGCAGCTGCGGAGGTGTCACGGACTGGGTCTCTTGTGCAATTGGTGAAGAGTCGAGAATGCTTGAAGAGGATGGAAGCTGCTCTGCCGACAATGCGGCGGCAGGTGAGGTGCTCAGTCCTCTGCATCCATCACGCCGCTGCATCGTGTGAATTGCTTGTTGGCTTTGCCTTGTCTCTGCACCACGCAGAGACCAATGTCGATACAAGGCTCCTGCATAATGGATGAGGCTTCCAAAATCGAGGAGGACCGATTGTGCGTGTTTTGGGCACTTCTGTGATGCCGGACAGCAAAATCACATCAGGATATGGCGAGGCTGTGTCCGCTCTTGAAAGCCGGGGCAGCTTTCTACGCCTTTACTGGGCGTTTTCTGAGTCGAACAACAGGGACGATGTCCATGGCGCAGGGGCCCTGAGCTGCTGCGTGGGCATTGTGGCTTGTTCTACAAGAAGCTGCTACTAGTAGGTTTGACAGGGCTGCCGTAGCATCATAAAGTATCATACTGCATGACACTTGTTCAGCAGCCGCGAGTTCATCGACATGAGGTCTTTGTGGCCGCGAGGCAAGGTCATGAACGAAGCGACATTCTAGCGACAGCCCGTGTTGCACTAGGTGTACATCCAGAGCTTTTCGCAGATGAGAGACCCACCTGCAGTCAGCAGTGCTGCGTCATGCGTTGATCCAGAGTCGCGAGATGCGACGAGGTACACCGTGTCTGTCCTGACAATCGTGGGCCGGATCCTCCTGGGGCTGTACAAAACCCGAGACAAGGCACATCAGAAGCAGAGCATGCGGTCGTGCGGGTGCATCAGAAGCACAGAGCATAAACAAAGCAGACTTTTGCAAATGCTCAGTCCTACGTCAACATTCCAACAGCGATGCTCGACCATGACGCAGTCCTGGATGTCCGCAGCCATGGCTGTTCTTGATAGTTCCGGCCTCTGCATCGCGTGCATTGAGTGGGGGTGCATCACTGACAGGTCGAAAACATTCACGCACCTCTGTATGATGTTGACGGCAGTCCCAACTTCTATTGGTTTGAGGCTGGGCACAATGGCCTCCGACACTGACTTTTGAAGCGAGTGGGTTTTGCTTTCGTGTGACAGGCGATCTTTCCACAGTTCATCCTGAGGAGCTGATCGGATCCTCTTGCAGTCAAAATGCCAAGATGCGATCGTTTTTGGTAGGAGATACAGGATATGTGCATATCAAGGCGTTTCGCAGACACCGGTCAAAGTTTCCCTGACAAAAAACATCAGGAGGTTGTACGTGCCGTTGATGACTTGCTTCTACAGCGGCCTGCGAAAGATGAACACCGATGGTGAAGGACCCGGCCCTGCCCTGTGCGGGAGTGATTTCGTACAGGGTCCAGGTTTCTTTCACAAGTTCTGGCGACCGCTGGTTTACTGCAGAGACTGATGAACGCAAAGTCAACCTGCAGTCAGGAAATTTGGATGATGCGCTGGACGATCCGGCTTACAATACATGGGAAGCCGTCTTGAAGAACTCGAACATGAGCAAAAGAGACTGGGTGGAGTACCTAGTCATGATCTAGAATCTGGAGCGTTGTGTGGAGCGAACTGGTAAGGTCCTCAGCTTCTACGACATCGCACACACCTGGGATGGCAACCTCTTGTGGCCAAAGCAGATGACGGACTTCAGTGTCTACTTCAAGAAGGAGCCGAGCATGCCAAGCCTTCCTTCCGGAAATGCCCGACCAACTAGAACGCCAGGATGAGTGGGAGGATCAACTGGAGCGCGCCATTGCCTTCCACCTCATCGGCACACACAGGCCCACGCTGGACATGAAAGGCGTCAACTGACCTTTTGGACATTTTGGGGGTGAGTTCCTTTCGGGTTGCAGGTTCTGATTCATCACATTGGGGTGGCTGCTTGAGACCGCGCGGCGTCGCACTGTTTCTTGGCCAGGCTGGAAGCTGGCTCCTTCTCCGTGGATGTGCCAGGCATCGGCAGCATGAAGCTTCCATACAGGAAGCTCAGCTGAAGGAGAATCGTGTGACCGAGTCGCAGGGCTCAGAAATGTGGGCTCAATCCGAGTAAGCCGATGGGAAGCTAGCGAGGGCCGGCAACTTAAACTGTTCAACTATCAGACAAGTACCGAATCCAGTCTGAAGGCAGAATTGGCCATGTCTTTTCTGGCTTCTCCTTTATGAGAGAGTTCGGGCATGTAGAGCATACATGTCAGTAGTGAAGGATTCTGAACTTCTCGGGGTTCGGAGGCGGTGCTGCGAGGCGATGCTGCGATTCTGCACCGAACCCTTCAGAGAAGGCTGCAAGAGCTTAACAGCCGTAGCCAACCGTAGCCAAGACGCCAAAGACGCATAGCTTGCGTTTGATGATTTGATTTTGGTACCGGGTATTTGTCTGAGAACTCAGGATAGCGCTGAACGTCTTCAGCGAGCTGTCAGTACGGGATGGTTTTGGCAGATACGGCGTGGACTTGCATCTCGGCTTGCGTCGGAGACCTGACGTGGACGCTGGTTGTTCTCTCCATGTTCCGTGATTGAGGTACTTCAATGAAGGCACCCTCCATTACCAGACTCTCTTGGAGATGCTTTGTTTGAATGCCTTGCTGTCACAATACCACAAGACGGAAGAGTTACTATTACCCCTGCCGAGACGAGCTGCCAGTTCTTCTGGTGACCCCAGATAATCACACGGCCCCTTGACTGGAATGCAGGGCTCGAGTCTTCGAGATGAGGATCTACAGCCTTCTGACGCCAGGTCGTGCGAGGAGATAAGCAGCATGCCACCCGGAGTGTCTTCGCCACGGGTAGCGGTCACCACAAGTTTGCCAGACTAGTTCCAAGGTGGCAGTACTGGAAGTTTGTTTGGAGAAGCACCTTAATCACAGGCCTCGGACTGCCGTGCTGACTCCAGTCAAAGTCTCTCTCAAGCGATTTTAGAGGCATCACGCTGGTCGACCACCTTCACTTCACGCATTTCAGGCCGAACTGCGGGCCGGTGTTCGGATTCGAAGACCCCAACCGCTCGGGAGTCCGCGTTCCGCTGCAGGAGCGCGAGCTTGCTTTCGCGGGCCATTCGAGACTCGGACGCAAGTTGCTAACCCGCGTCCACATCACGTTGCCACATGTAGGAGCCAATGCGTCCAGGAATCAAGCTGCCATCTGATCATCCCCAGCGGCGTCTTCTGTCCATTTTTACGTTTGGTTCTATTTTTGTCAACATCCAGGCCGGAGCTTACAGCTGAATAGCGTCGTAGCCAGCAATGCTTCCCCAAAGTCCGCACCCAGCCAGAGTCGACACAAAAGGCAACACACGTGCTACTGGGTGCGGAGCTTATGTTGTCATCACCCTTTGGGAATGGCCCAGATGAGTCACGCAAAAACGCCTAGGTCCAAATCATTTGCTTCACCGGGCTACCCCTTTCTCGGACTTTCTCAAGCTGAGCGGCGACCTCACGAGTGCACACATTGCCTGCTTGGCCAACCGAAAGCTTAAGGTCACAAAGTCCCGAAAATGCTTGATGATGTCACCGATGCTCCATCGATACAGGCATGCACTCCTCTGCGGCACTGTGGGGAACAAGCACTCAACTTGAAAGCACAGGCAATAGTGGAAGATGCAGTGTGGAACGAGAAGTACCTTGGAACTTTGCTCAGTGCAAGCAGCAATCCTGTTCGCATCAATGTCAAAGCCGAGGCTTTCTCCTAAGTTGCGGTCATTACCTTACTACGCTGATGGCCGACTTCTTTGGGAGTCGATCAAGAAGTGTCTCGGAGCTCCACATTTTGAGGTCTGAGGCAGCACAAGGTTTTGAGTGGATGCACCATGTGCATGGAGTGCACCAGAACATGACATCTCAGGTTTATAACAGAAATTCTTCGGTACCTTGACCTGTAGACTGCCACACTTGCTGCCATCGACGACCGTTTCCAGCAAGTCTGATCTGTGTCCACTTTTCATTCCTGAGGAGAAGCAACATATGCACGGTCGGATGCATAGATTCTGCAACGGGAGAGTGGCATGCTGGGTCACCGAAAAAAGCGGCGGCCTCTCCTCCCCTGTGCGGAGGAGGAAGGTGCTCTTCAAGAGGTGATTACTGACTTCATGAAAGAGCTTCTGGCTGAGACCTCCGAGGAGCCGCATGGAGCCGCGTAGATCTGGCCATGCCCGAAGAGTGTCCTGCTTCATGACAGTGGCATGGATGAATGACTGCTGCAACGCAGAAAGCACGAGTACGTAATGATGCTCTGCTCAGTCGCTGCGGCATTTCTGGCAAAAGAGCTGGGGCTGCAACTAGCAGCACCACCAGTCGTCGTCGTAGTAGTAGTANNAGCAATAGCAGCAGTAGCGGTAGGAGTAGTAGTAGGAGTAGGAGTAGGAGCAGGAGGAGGAGTAGTAGTAGTAGTAGTAGTAGTAGTAGTAGTGGTAGAGGTAGTGGTAGAGGTAGTGGTAGTGGTAGTGGTAGTGGTAGTGGTGGCAGTAGTAGCAGTAGTAGTAGTAGTAGTAGTAGAAGTAGTAGTAGTAGTAGTAGCAGCAGCAGCAGCAGCCGTAGTCGTGTAGCACTAGTAGTAGTAGTAGTAGTCGTCGTCGTCGTAAGTAGTAGTAGTAGTAGTAGTAGTAGTAGTAGTAGTAGTAGTAGTCGCAATTTCGGAAGGAACGTCAGAGCCGGCCTTTCAACGGCTTTCTTCTAGTTCTACTTTGTCAGGGCGTAGGGTTTGG